TTGATTCTTTTTAAACTTCAATTTAAACATATTTGTAAATTCAAACTAATTTGTTTAATTTATAAATTATTTATCAAATTAGCGCTAATCACATTTATGTATTTATGAATTAAAAATTTATAAGAACAGTTTCATTCATTATACAAAGTTTATATTTCATAAATATTTGAACGGTTTCTTTAATATATAACTATTTATTTTTTCTTAATTAAATAGAAACTGTAAAATTAGTTTTCGTAATTTCAAATAAAAAAATAAAATTAAAAGTAAATAAAAATTTGTAAAATATGTTTCTGAATACTTTATTACATAGATAGAGCCTTGAAGTAGAAATATATTTTTCAATGATAAGCAAAATATATATTACTTAATTACATCGACTTTTTTCATTTTCTTAGTATGAATATAATTAGATTTTTTTTAAGTTGAATAAATTCAATAATAAAACAATTATAAATTTGATAATTCCAATTAAGCCGTAGTTTTCTTACACGTCAGGATTTTATAATTTAAGTATGCAAAAACAAAAGTGATTAATACTTTTCTTTCACATGTTTCAACAATCTTGATATACATTCGACATAAGCAATACAACTTATTATTCGACGTGAGCTAGTCTTTAAAATCTTTGAATTCTAAAGGGAATTAACGGTGTAGGTCGAATAAGATCTGAGAACTCATTAGCACTGTTAAAAGTATATAACTGGTAAAGAGGGACGTAAAAATTCATTATAAACCTTGTCATCGTTAATTAGTGACTGACCCTTATAAGTTCGTTGAGTCTTATATGTATTTGAATTGAGATACGGATATGCTAGATATTAGTTGCCACAATTGTTTTACATAAGTAGTTCAGTAACCAAGATACACACTTATTCGGGGATCTTGAAAGTTCAAAGTGACTTTATAAATTGACAGATACATAAGACATTATTTGGTCTTTACGAAACTATTATACGTAATTGAATACTGTACTAATTATCAATAATAATTATGGGTCTTTTTTTTCTTGATGAATTCAATCACATATTTTATTCAATGTAGAAATTATTCATTGTTTAAGTATAAAATTATAAAAGTTTCGTTATTTAAATTAATAATTTTTTAAAGATCTAAGATAGAATTTACAGTATATTATAATGACAATATTTTATTTTTGAATAATTAAATGATAAAAGCAAATACAAATTAAAATAAGTATTAATTTTTTTATAATAGCAAATTATAATAAAAGTCATAATTCATATAAATAAAAGCATACACTTTCTACGCAATTTTAAAATCATAAAAAATTAGAATTGCCTATTTAGAAAAGTATTACTTCTTTATAGTTGATAGGTATTTAATTCGTTAAAGCCAATAAATATATTATACCAGAATAAACGCTTTATAACTTTATTTAATGTCGATATTATAATTAAATACAGAGTATCAATTGATGTTTTTAATTAAAAAAATTTTTTTTTTATTATCAGTTTTATAAAAGACATTTAAATATTTATTTAATTAAAAATAACATAAATTAAGTATATTTGAATTGGTACAAAAACATAAAGTTATAAAAAAGCTACCGATAATAAATTATGATGGTATGTATGACAATGATATAAACGATGATGATATTTATAATAAAAATAACATTAAATTTCCATTTAAAATGTTTATCTTTCTTCTTAAATATGAAACTTCTAACTAATTATATTAATACATTGCATTTAAATTTAAGTATATCATTTTTTATTCTTTTTCAGTATGACAATAAAATAATATTTATGTAATAACTTTTAGAATGAAACTTTATTAAAATTACTGTACTAAAAAGTTATAAGCAATGTTCCTGTCAGTTTTTATTTTCATCTTTAATATTAGAACATTTAAATTCGAACAGTTTCAGCAAAAGCAATAAAACGTTATAACATGTAATACATCAATGACTTTTCATCATATTTTGTTTGAAAAGCACTCCTACAACAATATTGTATATTTAAAATTTAATTGAAGTGCAAAAAATATTTGAATGTTCTTTGTTATATTGGATAAAAATTTTAAAATTGCAAATAAAATTTGTGCATAAATTTTTCTACTATTTGTTAATTAAGAAATTTTTAACATTCTCAGTGTGTAGTCTGTAAGTTTAATGAATTAGTAATTTGATGAAAAATATGATTTAATTTTCATTTATCACCATTTTGGAAGAAAGTTGAATCTAATGTGTCTTTGTAGTTGCTCAAACTTTTTATGTCTGTAATATTTTTAAATTGAAAAATTAATCAAGTATAATACATGAGTTTCATGCCTAGTAGAAGAAAAGCTTTAAAAAATTTCTTCCAGCTCGTTGCACTTAGTCACCTTGATTCTATATTACGCGTTTACATTGTTATTCTGTTAATCGGATACATACACACAGGTAAAACCGAAACTAAAAGCACTTCTATTTTTGCCTAACGTAGGCACACCTCCGGAAGTTTATTTTATCACTGATGGCTTGACAGTCAATTTGCAATCCACAACGTAACTCGAGCGCGGCATTTGATGCTGGTAAAAATGATAAAAATTTGTACTTTTACAATTCTCTTTCTAAGACTATTTTATTATTTTTATTTTGTTATATGCTATTGAATAATCAAGGCTACATAAATATTTAAACTAATGAGAGACTAGACATTTTCTTAAAGAATTTTCAAAACTATTAATCAGTATTGTTTTTTTATTTCAAGAATCGATTTTTAATTATTAAGATGTGTTGTGTAATCAAATTTTTATTATTCAATTATTTGTATTTGCATCTGTATAATTGCATGAAACAATTGATTATCTTATTTGTGACATTGCTTTTGAGATCGTCTAACCAAATGTACCTAGAATTAAATTATGTTTCGTACATAAATTGAAATAGGAGAATCAATAAATTGAATAAAATTAACATCTCTAATACATTGCAATTATAAATAATTTATTTTCATTCCCTGAATAATTTAGATCTCCTTTAACTAAATATACATGCACTTAAGTATGAGAACTTCATGAACGATGCTATGCTAATGTCAAAGTATTTTTCATCGTTATAATATAGTATGATATTATACATAATGTATTTTTTTAATATATATATATATATATATATATATAAAAATAAAATAAAAATATTCTTTTAATATTCTTGCTTAAAAATATGCATTATATATAATAAGAGAATATAGTAAAAGTTTCTGATGAATAATAAATTATAAATAATATCTGATGAACGTAATATGAATTAAATTAGTATTTTCAAATATTCAATCAACGTAATTAACTGATATTTTGTTTGTTTATGATTTTATTATGATGATCGTTTTGTTTGTTTCAAATTTTGCTTTATATAGTACAAAAAAGTATCTATTTATAAATAAATCGTTTTTTCCTAGTTTTGCGATTCTCGCCTTTGCATTAAAAAATTCTATTCAAGATTCTATTTAAAAATAGAATCCATTTATAATTTGTATATACGCAAATGCGTAATTCGTATTTATATATAATAAATATAGATATAATTATAGTATACATAATTTATAAATAACTAATTAATTGCAATACCTGTGTGTGCGCTCGCGTGTGTACGTATAATTTATTATTATTTATTACGTGGACTTTTCTTAACAAAAAAAAAAAAAAAAAAAAAAAAAATTTTTCGAAGGCTTCGTAATATTATTATTTTTTAAATATATTATTTTACTATTAGATATTAATTAAGACAAATTATATTTTAACTAAGCATTGAGAATGTAAATATTCATTAAATCTTAATTCTTAATCCTTAATCACAGTAAAAAAAAAATTATAAAATCTGTTATAAAATATGATGAATTTGATCAGATTTTCAAAACTAAAGGTATTAGAAATTGAAACTTCACTTAAATTTAAATACTGAAAGTCTCTGTTGTAAATAATGAGTACTTCTTTTTATGTTTTTATAAAACTATTTTATATTTCCATGAATTGTTCCCTAATTTCCTAGAAGTCGGTGACATGATGACGAAAATAACAAAGTTGTTTTGATGTAGTAATTTTGCTTGACATTGTTCTTAGAATTATTTAGAAATTCTAACTGCCTGTCTCACTTCTTGCTGTAAATAAAAACAATTAAATTCTCTAATATATTCGCTGGCATATACGACCCAATGTACGTTTTAAATTAATGTCAATTTTTATGATATCTTAGTAGCTAATTGTTATTTTTTCTTTTTTTTCTAGCTCAAATTTTAATTGTAGACATTAGAAATAAGGTCGACAACTCCGAAGAAATGAAGTGTTTTAAACGAAAAAGAGACATGAGAAGTATAATAGAAGGGAGTATTTTTACATAGTTTACCTAAGTTAAAGATTACGTCATAGTTAACTAATTATTAAAATAAATTATGGCTTCTTTAATCGTTGCAGAATTACAGTCACAAACTTAATCCGTAATATTCAAATAGGATTGTTGATATTAATCCATTTTTATTTGTAGAGAAATACTCATTTTGTAAAATAAACAAATTATTGTTATCAAGTAATCACAACTTAGTCCGTATTCATGGAATATTAGATCTTGTTCACAATACTAAAATTCAATTTGCCACTAAAAATCAATAGCATACATGGCAAATAGCGCTAAATAATTCTTTTTATTTATTGAAAATTAAGAAATAGATTTATTATTATTTGACAAATTGAGTAATAGTATTTTACTCGAATGTAAATAAATGTTTAAATATGGTGCAGCTATATCACGAAAATAATTAAGTTTATCTAATGCGTTTAAAATATATTTGAAATTGCAATTTTTTATCAATCGCGTCTATATCACGTATCGCAAACAATGTCGTACGACACCTGAAATTTTCCGGAATCAAAGTTTCGCCAACTAAATCTAAAGTATCATAAATCTTTACGTAGCATCAGTTCATTTATTAGCTATCAAACTCTATCTATATATTTTATAGTTAAAAAGCAAATTAACAGAATTTTGTGATTATAAGAGACTACTACTGTTACGAGGTAGTCGAAAAATCGGTAGATCTTGTAATTGATGCAATAGTGCTTAGTATGGTAGTGCTGGGAGTGCTGGTCATTGATAAAGGATTTATCCACTAAAAATAACAATCATAGATTAAAGAGCGACCTCTTTTCACGGAATCCATGGGATTTGATCCAAGGAGACAAGCGGCAAGACCGAAAGCTTGGCGCTAAAAAGTTGTAGTAGCGTGGTAGGGTGGAGGGGCGCTCGACTCCAAGAGCCGTTAGCCGCGCGCCGGCGCTGGTAGTGGGGGATGATGGGAGTCCAGGCATGGTGAGGGCGCAGTTCCACGCGATCCTTTGTCACGTAAGCACGTACGTAAGTAGTGGTGGTCGGACGTAGCTGGCTGCGATTTCGTTGTTTACTGTTCGGATCGTCACCACGTGTGTGCCAGTGTCAGAGTCGTGGTGGCGGAGGAGGAAGATAAAGATGACCAATGTGTGAGTACTCGGTGCGGAATTGTGCGCTTTCGTTGATCGGCGGTTGTTGATTGTTAATTGATAGCGAGCTGTTGTTGCTTGGCGGGAGGTAGTTGTCGTTGCAATTGCGTTAAAAAAGGAGTTTATTACTTTGTGGTAAAGCGCCCGTAACGGGTAAAGGAGCACACAAACGCTGCACGTATATAAGAGACGTAATTAAGAAAAATATGGGAGGAACAAAGGCGAGGCCTTTCGTAGGTGCATTTTGGCTCTTGATGCTTTCGAGTACCTGCGATGCTAAGATCTCCGTGGACGTTAAGATTCGCGATGACAGCGATTTGTCTCAGGTAAGTTGCTTTGGCTACTGCTGCCTGTCTGGCTGTTTACCGTGATTATGCTTCAACAAATAATAAACGACGACGACTTTCTTTCGCTTGTACTTTGAAATATGGGATTGCCTACCTTGTGCTCATCCAATCCTTGTTTACTTATGATTTTGCTTAATAATAAAGTATAAGCTCATCTGAAATGTGCTATATATGTACATTATAAATTAATTTAATATAAAATTGTTGTTGATTTTTGTAAACTTAATGGAACGACAATTGGTCAAATAAAAAATATTCAAAATGTTTAAGCCATTACGTAAATTAGTTAATGAATATAGTTAATTGTAATTGAAAGGAAAACAAAGAGTTAATATATGATTTAGCAACTATGAAGAAGATTCAATAAAACAATTGCCGCAGTTTATATTAAAACACTGACAGATATTAAGATGACGTCGGAGAAAATGATTGTAATTATTATTTCGTTTTTAAATATTACATAATTTCTCCGCAGCCCTTTTCTTTAAACAATTTGCTATTATGGAATGCTGTCGCATATAAAAAATTATCAAATCTAATAATAAAACTGTTGTCGGACATAATGCATTAAAGTTTTTAATATTTTGGTTCGATTGTTTGGACAAAAATATGACATTATTGTAATAGTAATAAGTTATTACAATGTCTCAGAACCGAGAAGGAGAGAAGAGAGAGAGAGAGAGAGTTAAATGATAAATTTTGTGTGATAATGATACAAATATAAAGTACAGAGAATTTAAGGATTCTATTTAAACACTATTAGGAATTATTTGATCAAATTAATTATTGATAAATTAAAAGTTTAAAAATTTTTTTATAGTAATTATGTGTAATTATTTTAATGAAATATTTACCTACTATTTACTAAAATAATAAATAGTGTACTGTTACGAATTAGATTTGTTATTAATATAAATTTTCGATAATTGAAGAAATTGACAAAATTCAAAATTGCCATTTGGAAAATTGGCAATGATAAATTATTTTTTATAATTTTTTATAGTGCATTCACAAATACGTTTATTATTATTTTTTTTTATATCCTTGATAAATTATAAACTGAAAACCGATGCTACGACATTACTTTTAGCGTATAAATTTTATTGGAAATTCGTTTAGTAAAATTAAGTTTTTTGAATTTTAAATAAGTTACTTAGAACATAATGATTATGCCTTATCGTTTTCTTTAAAATCCTTAATTACTGTATAAAAACAAATCTCTCTATTTGTTTAAGCGCAAGTTGAATAATTATTAATTAAGGAGTTTATGAAATTCATAAAGTGCTTCTTTAATAATTGCTATTTTGAAAATGATTATAAAATAAATATTATTAAATATGTATATATGACAAAAATTTAAAATCAAATTAATAGTAACTTTAAAATTAAAAATTATATTTATTTAAATTAATTTTTTTTTCTTAAAAATTTCTTTCATAAAATTTTTATAAGAATTATGAAATAAAAACTTTATTCAAACAATGAAACTAGCACAATTCACTCTATCGGTAATCAACTAAATCTTTTCCCCTATACTATTTCAAACCTCGATCGTGTCAATCCATAATAAAAATCATCCACTGCCAAAATGTCGCAGCGTCTCCTGTGATCAACGGACAATGCATTATTGAAGGTTTTTCTTTTGTTCGTTTTGTTTCTTTTTTGTTACCTTCGGTGATCATAAATCGTTTAGAATATGGTTGTCATATAAAAGGCGAGTTGAATGGTCACCGCTTCTTAAGAGTTCCGACGAGCAATGACAAAGAGTTGCGCGGGCACCATTTTTCATTCCCTAAGGTATCGATAAAGTCGCGAGGATTCGTGACGAAATTCTCTCGTGCGGTGGCATATTATCGGCATATCAGCAACTTTTGCTTGCGATACAAGAATTTCAATTTCAATTTTTAAACGCCATAAGACGTTCGCTCACGCATCATATATCGTGAGCGCGTCATTCGCTTTGCCTTCTAATACTCTAATATGGCTTTGCTTATATTTTCACCTTTTTTATTTTTCATTTTTATGGATTATCTCTCATTATTTTTAATCCGTAAAATTTTCGAAATTATAGTGAATAATAAATTAATTTGGAAAAATATTCTTTAAAAAAAAACAAATTTTAGTACATAAAGAAAACAAATTTAAGAAAATTACAACATTTATTTAAAGTTTAATAGTTATATTGTACAAATATTAATAATTAATGATTTAATTATTTATATATGTAATAGAAGAGTTACAACAATTGATATAATCAGTAGTGTTGTCTTGCTACGTGAGATTAACGTATCTATAAAAATAGTATGTAAAAAAATCATAATTGAATAATATTATAAATAATTCAGCAATTAAAAAGAATGTGCAAGTTTTCTATTTACCAGAGTGATTGGTAATGTTAATATTTTATAACTAAAAAGATGTCTATTTTGTAAAATTTCTTCAAGATCAACTGCTTTAAAAATTTTTTCTTCTTATGTTCTAAGTATTAGTCTTTAAATTCTTTAAATGCAAGTAAAGGCGATGCTTTTCCATTTTTAGTTTTTAATTTGTATATATACATATATATACAAATATATATAAAAAATATATATATAAATAAATAATCTATTACAATAGGATTTTACAGTATTCCCAACGTATTGGTAATAAATTTTTTTTAGAAATTATAAATTTATATAACGATATATAAAAGAGTGAATGTTCAAAATACACTCTGATTCATAATTTATATAATAATCAATAGGATAAACTTGTAAATAATATATGATATTTATGTCAATCGATTATAACATTAAAAAGATGTGATAAAAATTAATTTATTGAAATGTAAATTTAGATATATTTTATTAACTAAAGTTATTTTTGTAGAGATCAATTTTTTAAAGAATTATACTTATTATGTTTGTGTTTATCTATAAATTGTTTGAAAGATATTTAATAAATATACATAAATGGAGTGAGTAAATAAAAAAAAGTATTTTTCAAAAAATTAAAAAAACTTTAAAAAAGGAAAACTTTAAAAATAAATGTTTGCAAAATTGTAATTTTAAAAGTAGAAATTTATAATTTTCAATCAATATATTTGTTATTTCAATATACATTATTGTGATTTTGTAATATTATATCTGTAAGCTTTGATAAATAACTGTAAACGAAAAAGTGGTCTATCAAATCATAAAAAACTTTATTTTCAATTTTTATAAAAAAAGATTAATATTTTATTTTATGGCAAAATATCACCTAATTGAAATTAATTTTTTTTTTATAAATATTTGTAATTATCCAAGAAAATTGAGACATTCAAGTATCAATAGCTAAATTTAGTTCAAAATTGTTAGAATCAATTGACATATAATTCAAATAAAACTTCCTTAAAGATATCCAAGGAAAGGTACTTTTTTCAATATAAGATAAAAGATTGTTCTTTACTTGAAGCTTCGTTGAAACAATCTATTTTTCATTATATCAATTTTAATAATTTAATATTTGATCTAAGAAAGCAACATTTGTTATTGTTTAGCAAATGAAGAAGCATCATATTAATAAATAATGTTGAGCGCTTAACCAGTTTTAGAAATTCAAAAAAGTTGTGAATATCAGATTAAAGAATTCCGTCGCAGCCATTGCCCCTACTAGCAATCATCATCGCACCATCATCTCTCGTATGACTCTCCAGTTGAAGAATGTATAGATATATTCTTTGTTACGGCGAATGTCGCGCACACGCTAATGCGATTTTAACTTTTCAAGTGGACGTTGTACCCGTCGGCTAGCGTAGATCGTAGCCAGTGCTGATAAATACTTTTTTAATAGCGTGGTCATCTTCGGCTTCGCATTACTTTTAAAGGAGCGTTTTTCGTTCGTCTTTAAAAAAATGTATTTTTAAAGAAGGTGGTGAACTGGGTGTAAAGAGATTGCAATCATTTTGACGTTCGGCGTTTCTGTTTAAATGCTTTACGTATCAAATTGATTTTTCGCAAATCGAAGATTCGCGCAATTACAGGTGGAAATTTAAATATGAATTCCCAATCTTATTCTATGCTTAAAAAATTACATTGTATAAGCAGATTTATAGATTTATTTATTGAATATCGATAAATATATTTCATACGATTTAATTTTTAATATGAAATTTATACTCGTTATGATTGTCCGGAAATCGTATTTTTAGTAACTACAAAGTTAATTGTCGAAAACAGCAAAAAATTATACAACCAATATACTATAGTATTAATTACTATAATTTATATTTTTCAAAAATTTCGCAACTGTATGTGATTGAATACCTAA